ATTTAGGTTGTTTAAATTATAGTTAGAATTTTTTTCCATTGGGGCATATCATGTTTTGGTGTATAATATTTTTTTATTTTTTGTAACAGTAACAAAAAACTTTTTCATGTTTTACCAAGTCTTGTTGTTTTAAGAAATATTTAGTAATTAGTAACTGGTTTAGGCGGCAAGATGGGAGAGATATGGTTGGTAACCAAGATTTAAATCCTGTTAAGGTAAAGAAAAAAAAAAAAAAAAAGAAACCTAGTGCCATGACAAGTACCTTCGAGCCAAATAGTATCTAAAAATTCCTCTTCGCATTAATGAATTTGAATTGACCTTAAACTAACTAGCATCGTTCACGTGCTCCATCCGCTCATCATAATTTTAATTTCAGAGGCCTTGTTGAAAGTTTCTCACACTTACCACAACTTTGCTGTATAAAATAAACTAGTCTTGTGTATAACATGAAATTTGAGAAATATGCCATATTATTCATAACTCATAAATAGTGTAATTTTTTTTATAATTTTTATGTTATATATAAATCATAATTTGGGCCAAAACAACATTTGGCCAGAAAGAAACCCTTAAAAAATGCACAATCTTCTACCATTTTGGGTCAATGCTGATCAAATCTTAAAAGCTTAAATTTTTTTATTTCATAATATTTTTATAAATATTGAATTTGAATTGTCCAATTTAGAAAAAAAAAAAGAAAGAAAAGAAACTAAAGAGAATCAAAGTTCAAAAGAAGAAGAAGAAGCCTTCATAAGTCCAATTCTAAAATATTTTGAATTTTTTTAAAATCTTTCTTTGTAAATTTTACAAAGTTTAATGCCTTGGATGCAATTTTTCCTCTCAAGAAATATAAAAACCAGTAAATATTAATATTAATATATGATCAAGGTGAAGAAAAGAAAAGCAAAGAGAATCAAACTTTCAAAAGTAGGTCCTTTCATAATTCCAATTCTAAATATGTTGAATTTTTTAAAATATTATGTATTACTGTAATAGTTAAATAATGAATCAAAAATGGTGATGAAAATAATTCAGTTGGTTGGTAGTAATGAGTTAGGTTAAGTTACTATGTCCAGAATTTCAAAAGAAGTAATGGCTCCACGTTGACAAACAGTTCTATGAACCCAACATTCATCTCCCTCCCACAGACCTAACCATGCTGTTGTTTCACCATTTCAAGTTTCAGAATGGATATATATATATATATATATATATTATATTGTAATTAAAAGGAAGAAAAATATAACCAACAGGGGTTGGATTTAACGGAAGGGACTAATTTCTCATAATATGGTGAACTAATATTTGAATCCTCATTAAAAGAGGTGCCCATATTTAATATCAAACTATGTCTTGAATATGATAGCCTCCAATAGAAGAATACTTGTGTTTATTGTAATATCTTAAAAATTTAATAAGGAATAATTAAACTAACTAAGAGTAAAATAGTAATTTGTGAGTTAAGCCAAGTAGAATGTGATTACTAGATGGCTTTTGAGCCTATTGGATCCTATTAGAGGCTTGGAATTGGACCCAAGGGTGTATTGGGCCCAAATTGTGGATCAAAAAATTGGGCTTTCGTCTCAATGCCATCCGTAGCAATGTATGGTCCATGTTTTGCTGGAAATCACACGTAATGTGTTATTTCATATTTGCATTTTTGCTACCAAAACATGAAATTAAAAAAGAGGGAGTGTGGAAGACATTTGGAGCTCTATTAGGGCTTGTAAATGTCGACCATTGGAGGCTATTAGAAGCTTAATATCTCTTGAGTAAGCTTCAAATCTCTTCCATCCACCTCCCTATGTGAAAATGGACTTGTGGAAATGAAAATGGAGAATATATATATATTTTTTAGCCATACTTTTCACCAAAGTCAACATGTCTCTTATACCAATTGCTCTGATACAAGTTCTAGAATCTTATAGACTTGTATGCTCCAACGAGCTGATAGGGTGCAAATCATTATAGCCTATTGTTATCATTGTAGTGATTGAGAAGCATATGGACTTTTAAGTATTTTGTTTCAGTACTTGTGCCTTTAAATGTCGATCCAAGGCACCAATCACATTATATTCTTCATGAGAATGTATGAAAGGTCATTTGGAGATGGAATGGGTCAGAGAGAATCCAGGTGTTCATTTGGCTTGCAATTAGAGGAAAACTTCCTTCTTTAACAAAGCTTAGTTTATTTTATATTCATTACATACTCATTATTTCATTAGCTAGCTAATTTAATTCATATGCAAAATGTAAGATAAGCTAGCATCTTAGAGAAGGATGAATTGGATATTTTAAAATTTCTAAAAGATTTTCCCAAACAAAGCAAAAACCAAGTTTTTATCAAAACAAAGTACTAGAGTGCCTTTTGAATTAGATTAAGTTAGAGAAGAGAAAAGCTTGATACAAGAATTTATATTGGTTCAATCTAAACACTTGGCCAATATTTAGTTTTTATGATCACGTTTGAGATTTTTCACTAAAATCACAAGCTTAAGAAATAAAGACAACTATAGCACAACTACCAAGGCAAACCCATCTTGAATTCACTCAACAACCCCTTACAAAACCTTTGTAAGTAATAAACCACTTAAGGAAAACATTTGCCTAAGATTTCAAAATAAAGAGTGGGCAATCAAATTTCAAACCACTCTAAAAAGCAAATAGAAATATAGTGAAAGCCTATAATCAGTAGTGCGCTTTTTAAAATATTCAATGTAATAGGTAAAACAATAAATGCAATTAGTTAATTTGTTACCCACTAATAATGTGAGGATGATTATAACCGTTAGAAATCTAAACTATTTATCTAGAGATGGTGCCTTGTGCATGTGGAAGTAGAAACTATGAAAAAGCACTTTATTAACAAAACTCATTAAATGCATGCCAAAATTTTAAAACTCGCATGTTTTAAAAAGGCTAAAACATGCATGGAAGCTATTTGAATTACACGAAGAATAGAAGCAAGGAGTGAATGACCTCTTAAATACTTTGAAAAATGTGTGGGTGAGATCCAAAACTCGTGAGTGTGGGTTAGATACGTTTTGAATACTTAGAGTGAAACAAGTTGGCTTAGGTGATCAAGGTTCAAACTTAGACAAACTTGAGTAAAACACTGAAACTCACGAAGATGACACTGGAAACTCGTGAGGATGGGTAAGCACACAAGTACTCAAGCTGAGCAGGTGAACAAATACTCGTAGGGATGAGAACTCATCCTTGTGAGGATGATAATTCCAGAACCTTGGTTAGCATTGTCACTCTAAAACAAGTGCACAGAACCAAACTCCTCTCAGCCATTCTAAAATTTGCATGCTTAACCTCTTAAGCTAGTGAGTTTGAGTGAGGTAGAAACACTTTCTTCTCTAGAACTCTAAAACTCATGTGTTTAAATATAACATAATGAAAGGCATTCTGGAACTCTGGAGGATATTATGAAGATAAATGGATACAATTATGAAGCGACAATCAGAGTAAACTATTCAGTTGCACAAAGATATTAGCCAAAGTTCGTTGCCTAATGATGTGTTAGAGATTAAAAGCGCATATGCCTCCATATATCAATGAGATTGATGATTGTGTAAGATGGCTATACTTTGCCGATGGTAATTGCTATGTTGCACTCGCACGCTTGTGTGTGTATATGAAGTTTGGAAGGGTGCTAACTCATTCATGGCAGAGAATGCATGGAAGGCCATCTGTGAAGGGGCCAATCAGAATCCAGATATTCATGTGGCTGGTTGCTGAAGGAAAACTTGTTACTTCGATAAAGCTTAGTTTATTTTACATTTATTAGATTCTCATCTCATTTACATGATTAAAATAGCTAGCTAACTTCATGCATATACAAAATGATGAAGTCAAATATATATAGCCCTTTCCTCGAGCTTTCTAAGTGTCTGGCTTTCTTGATAATCATTTTGTTCTCCTTCCATATACATATAGGACACTCGAAATAAGCGAATCTTCTGAGATGACTATCCTCTACAGAAATTAATATATTAAGGTGTATCTTGTCACTAACTATCCTTGTCACTAGCGGTTGCTCCTTAAAAATCATTATTACTTTATTATTATTTGCTTTTACAATACGTAGTTGGCAAACATGAATAATTTTAAATTTCAAACTTTACGCTTGAAGTGAAACAATCAAAATATCACCCTCTAAGATTATTGAATTTTACGTAACTTCATCAAAATTTAAATTTGAGATTCAAATCAAAATATTTCATAATATTTAAATTTTAAAGATTTAAATCTAGTGTAAAATAGATAAAAATAATTTATTTTATTAAGAAATATATATATATATATATATTGTAACCACTATTTGTTTATATATGTGTGTGTGTTTATAAATTGGGTCCCAAACCTATTTACAAAGCAATAAGTAAATCTGACTCTCGAAGTATAGAATTGCGTGAAATGCACCCCCAAAATACAACCAGAGGAAGAACAATAAAACTAATCCTATTTTTATATGATAATGATTTTGAAGTCTATTGAATTTAGTTTAATGTTCTGTTATACTTAAACATAATATATTAAAATTTAATTAAAAAAATAATTCAAAATATGGAATCATATTTTTCTCTTCAAAATTCAATTTTAAATTACTTTCATTTAATTATGCCCTCTCTTGAATCACAATCCTTCATTGTTTAAATATATTTTTTAAGAGGATTAAAGAGTTTTAGCAAGAGATAGAAAGAGACAAGCGAGACTCACAAGTAGCTTATGAATCTCGACTATGAATCCTCCCCATTCACAGTGAAAGTAAATAATCCATTTGAAGAGTGACACGAGATACTATAATTTGACATGTGCTCATTGCTTTCCTCTTTATCTCTCTCTCATTTTGTGAAGTTGAAGAACTAGGGTAGTAGAAAATCTCAAATAGATCCCACATCTGTCATTTCTTTACTCTAAACTTCAGAAATCTATTTCACAAATGTGAGAGCTTACTGAAAAAACGGGACTGTAATTAAGAGCAACAAGACTGATTAGAATTGACTGTGGTAATCCAAGCCAAAAGGGTAACTCTTAATGCTAATGAATGAACTCAGGTGTCAGATTATTACTAATGATTATACATCTATAGATTTACAGTCACATTCTTAAATACTTTACATGATAATGAATGAAAAAATTGCATGATACATTCTGGATTTCAACTTTCAAAAAAGGGGGGAAAATCAAAATGAGCAAACTCAAAACAAGAGAAAAATGGTTAGCCATGGTAAGATTCTGAGAAATCTTAACAATAACAGACACAGGAATGTTCACAACATGACCTTGATTTCCAAACAGTCCAATCCTCCCAAAGCTAGCAGCATAGCTGTTAGTGGTTGCATTCAAGGACACAGACAAGACCTGCTTCTCTCCACTGCCTATATAGAAGTGGGTAGGGGATATCTTCAGTGAAACTCCAAATGGGGCAAACCATCCAACACTGTAAGACTCATTCCCGCCAACGTTTTGAACTGTTCTCTGCACCACTCTGGATTGGTTTAGCTTTGCAATTGTGATGGAGGGCAAGTTCAGATCAGGACCATATACAGTAGAGTTGTAAAGAGCACAGTTTTGGCCAGTGAAATTCAACACCATTGGTGCCGATCCATTGATACCACACAGGAATGACATGTAATCATTATAACCTGCAGAGGGAAGTATGTTTAGGGAGCAAGTAATTGTCAAAGCTGCTTAAATACCAATGGAGATTTGGTAACTAAATCCCACATTGAGTAGTATAAGATACTCAACGGAGTATTTAAGTAGATAGGTCCTCCCATCTCAACAGTTAACTTTTGGGACAGGATTCCCCATCTCACTTAGGTGCCCATACATTAATTTTAGATGCTTGGAATTTGACAGATGTCATATGGTCACACTGGAAAATCAGGATGCTGGGTTCAGCCATTTCAATTTTGGAACAATATAAAAACTAAACTGACATGTGGTCACAGTGGCAGCTAAGTGTACTTTTAATTAGAGGTGTTCACAAGCTCAGTTCAATTCCGTTTGCTTTTGGACTGAAATCAAACTGAACCTGATGTTCACAGGATGGAAGACTTGGGCAGTTTTAAGTTTAGGTTAGTTTGTTTTGGCTCTGGTTTAACTTGTTGGCTGCATGATTTTTTTAAAAAACAAAATTGATTAATTTTTAATTTATTTGTTTGATGATCCAAGTGTATCCATCACGATATCATGCAGAACACTGAGTACCAACAACTAAACAAATTTAGGAACAGTATCATAGGCTTACTCTTAGATGCATGTTTTATATTAAGCCAAGCACAACAATCAATGATTTCTCATGCCACTTTCTTTAAATTTAAACGTGACAAAGTGCATTGCTGTGTTGCAGTAATGTTGAAAATGCTAATCAAGTGACTTACTGGAATCAAAAATCAGGCCAGGATTTAATGCTGAACTTCCATTCACAAATCCACTTCCCATGTCAAATGGAGTTGCTGGAGACTGGTTTAGCTCAGGGGAGGCATAGGATCGCTGAGCCATTATTGGCCCACCATTTTTATCATAAACAGAAGCTGTAGTGGACAGTGCCGATCCAACAGCTGCAGGACCGAAATTTGGAAACTTTTGCTTGATCAATGCAGCAAGACCAGCAACATGTGGAGCAGCCATGCTTGTTCCAGACATCATTGCAAAATTCTCACCTGATATTTGCATTTCATATCATGAATGTTATTGTTAGTTTAATGAGAGGTTATGGTTATAATGTAATAGAGACCAAAACAATTACTTAAAACCCCCCCATGTTTATTTTCTGGTTGCTACTTGTGGAGGTAATTACATACCAAGAAATTCAACAGACTCAGTGCCACCAGAACTCCAAGCAGCCCATATCAAATTTCCAGGAGCTACCAAGTTGGGTTTCAAAATGTCTGCTTCGTGAGGAAGAGTGTCCTCTGGATCTGGCCCCCTGGCAGAATAATACATAATACTTGGAGCAGCATTACTGTAATTTGCTTTCAGTCCACCACAAATGCTAGCAACAGCACCAAATTTTGTGATCTTTTTTGACGTTTCATCTATTTGCAATGAAGAATTGTAGTACTGCAGTAAACTCTGTCATTAACAAGTAGAAAGTAAGCGTCAAGTCAAGTGAGTCTGCCAATGAGCATGCAAGAGTTAGATCAAACTTGGGACAAGATCCATGTCACAGTTTACCTACATAGACAACCGGGGTCCTGACACCATGCAAAGTGCATGAAAAATGATTTCACATAAAGTACAAGCCCAAGGAAAAAAGGACATGTAGATAAATAAACAAACTATATTCAAGCATTAAGGACAAGAAATAAAAATGAACAAATAATGAACCTCGGAATCATTTGTAGATGAAATTATTATGCCGGGCATTTTCATTGGAACTGGGTTAAGCTGAAAGCCAATCACAAAAGGATCCATATAGAAGACAACACCAACTGCGCTAAGGTTCTGGGCTGCCTCTAAGGCATGTTTGATAGTGGAGAGGCCAAGCACAAAGCGTATTGAATAGCTACACATCAAGAGATTACCCTTCACCAGCTCCTGATCGAAGTTGCTTGAATCTTGGCACTCAGCCAAATACATATTATCAGCAACACTTGAGTCATTTTTCAAAGCATGAAGTGCATGAACCAGTTTGTACATTTGACTTTCATCTGTTCCAGCTGGATAGGGGGAAAATAGAAGGAAAATGAAAGGTAATTAATCAATCCCATAAATTAGGAATTGAGCCATCTTTAAACTCATGGATGAACTTCAACAACATAATATAATGGACCACAAAGAAATAGTATATGCTCAACATCAAGAACTAATTGATCAAAGTCTAAATGCCGTCAATTTCAGATCTCAGATTTTTTTTTTTTTTTTTTGACAGGGTGATCTTCCAATGAGCAATGAGTAAATGTTAAAGAACACCACATAAACTGGTAACAGTATACAACCAAACAATTTAAAAAAAAAAAAAACTGCAGAGCTAAAGCAAAAACCATGTGGACAAAATTGGCGAGAAAACATTCAGGAATAATTGTATCTCATCACATTATAAGATTCCTGACTGCATAACATTTTGATTATATCATCTGAATCCCACAAAAGGTTGCCTCCATTTTGCAGAGATGAGCCTACGTTCTTATACCATTATTAAAAATAGTCACTGTATTCTCAAAATAGTAGTACATAGTTATGACATATAATCATTTTTCCTGTTCATATAACCCCTAAAATTATTTACAAGTTCTTTACCTTTCTTTTTTTCATTTAGTGTAAAAGACAATCCCCAAGAGAATTTTTAACCATTTGCAGTACTCTCCACGTAAGCATTCTACACTCATGATCAATAAATTATTGTGTTAATAACAAATGTTAATATCATCCCAAATAAATAAAATCCATTCTATCCTATCATCAATAAGAATATATGCGGCAGCCTCATTGAAAGATGTACAGTATTATGGGTAATCCAAAGAGGAAGTCAAATCATTGAGCTCATGCAACTTTGTTTCTCATGACACTTAAGCCCAAAACTTTTGTTTCTCATGAGAGTTGGTCCAGAAGTTAAGTTAACAAATAGGAGTAAGATAATACAAACTTACATGCAAGTCCAACTCCTGGAATAGTCACATTATTCCCAAGAACCATGGAGTTGCTATATGATCGGTCATGAGTGGCAGCACCAACAGTATAGATCCATGGGCTGAAGGAAGACATGCTCATTGGCGATGGTCCAGTGTTGCCTGCTGCTTGCACAACAAAAATACCAGTCCTTACAGCTGACAGCAATGCCATGTCTATGGGATTCAAGAAAGTTGCCACACCAGGAGGGCGGCGATTAGGAGTGATTGACAAGCTTATAACATCAACCCCATCCTGAGCTGCCTGCAAACAATCAACCAAACTACTGTAAGCCCAGTCAGAAACTTTGTGAAGGAGAGATTCAACTGAATTATCAGTACTCTACAGTAATCTATTCAAAATAGAATATGAAGCCAGCAGGGATTCCCATGAAATTTATGATTTGCTAATGAAATACAGGAAAAATGGGCAAGCTCATCAGAAGTGGAAGACATTAACTGTACATACAAGGCAGTGATGGCCTTTTTATGTTTTACACAATGAAAGGAAAGAAGACCCAATTCAGATTACAATAATGTGTCATTTTCATAACAAGCCATTACATGTACCTGGTCAATAGCTGCGACAACATCTGCTGCAAATCCTCCAAAACTCTTGTACAATGCCTTGTAAACAGCAATGCTGGAAAAGATTGAAATGCAAACCAAATGTTACAAAAATAAAAAAAGAAAATTCATGATACTTTCATAAAAAGAATGCAACTCCAAATATTTTTAAGGGGAAAAAACCTTTTTCTATAAAATTTATTCAACCATTCTATTTTTGAATGCTTTAGCATGACTTCACTTGTTTGTTACTGTCAGGATATCAAGTTATGTGGAGATAAATCCTATGGGAGTGAGACACTCTGCAGTGCACATAAACATTCGCCAGATGAAAAAGGCTTAATGAAAGAAGTAAAAATTTTTGGAGTAACCTAGCAAAGATCGTGTGACAAAGGTCAAGTGAGAAGGGAAGACACTTCTAAATCATAGAACCCTGACTTATCCAATACTGTACCAGTCAACCTCAAAATGAGGCACCTTTAGTGAGGCACGCACCCTTGGTGCCTCTCTATGAGACAAAAAGAACCGAGGCTTTCCTTTATTCCCTCTCAATTTTCATAACCACACTTCTCTTTCAATTTTTCACTACCGATTTTTCAATTTTTCACTAACTGTAAAAGTAGGAATGGTGCTATACTAGTTCAACCATAGTTGGAGCAAGAAAAGCCATCATGAAATTGTTTCTGAAAAATATGTCCCATCTTTGGTATTCTTGGACCCAAAAGAAATTAGAATTCAAAATTCCATTCCAACTAATACAGAAAATGGGATAATTACACCTCTGAAGTGAAAACATAAATCCACTGGCAAATGCTTGTACAATGCAAAAGAATACATGTAATGTGGCATTCCTTATGCTCTGCTCCATAATAAAGACACTCCAGCAGCAAATATTTTTGTTTATCATAGAGCATTCTATTAAATATTAACTAGATTACCAATTACCATCATAACAATTAAAACAAATAACTAAACTTATTTTTCCATGCATTTGCTAGGAGTCTAAGAGATGAATCACACTATTCATAACAAATGAACAGTGCAGCTTGTTATAGATTTTGCTATTGAAATATTGATATTCGAAATTTTGATGATAAAAGCACTAAGAATTGTTAAAAAGATATAGTTCAAGATTAATTACTGTGAACGTGGAGCCATCCCACTAGCATTTCCAAAGTGATGACCAGCAACTACAACTGGAATCCCATGGTTTCCAGCTGCTACAGAAGCTGTGTGCCTGTGGATTATAGATGTATGGTCAGAATAGTCATCCAATAAAAAGACAAGGAAAAAATCAATGATCATATTTAACAATCTTGGTTTCGCAGTGCACTGTTTTGATAATTAATTACTCTGTTATGCAAAGAAATAAATAATATACAGCTTAGCATGAAAATGTAAGTTCACTTTCAACACTAGAATCTCAAAGGAAAGGGGATGAATATCCATTAATTTTCAAAATCCAGAATAGAAGTTTAAAATTATAAATACTTGAAAATCATGATGATGGCACAGAAAAATAGACAGAGGGAAAGTTATACTAAAAAAAGGTCAATAGATAACTTAGAAAAAGGCATTTTCTCAAATGCATCAAATTAATACATGGAACAAGTAGTTAACCATGGTAAACTATATAGCAACATAAACGAAAAATCACAGTGAAAATTGCCAATAACTCACGTGCCATGGCCATCGCCATCAAAGGGAGAAGCATAGTCTTGAGATGAATTAAATATTCCCCTGGTTATAGCAGATGCTGCAAAATGCCGGCCCCCAACAAGCTTCCTATTGCAAGAACCAGATGGGAAATCTCGAGTAACCTCACAGAGACCAGAGTAATGAGCAGGAACAGGGTATGGACGTTCAGATTTACTATCATCAAAACTTGGGTGTGTTGGATCAATTCCAGTATCAATAAACCCAATAACAATTCCTTCTCCAGCAGTTTCAAACCCGCCTTCTTGAGACCATGCACCACGTGGCAGACCCAAGAATTGTGGAGTATGGGTAGTTGCAGTTCTTACAGAAAAATCTAAGACTACATTGGACACTTCTCTTCTACTCGCTAGTTTCTCAGCCTACATGATTCAGAGATCTCAAACGTTAAGGAAATAAGAAATAAAGCAAGGAATTCAAAGAAAAAGGAAGCCAGAGCAAAAATAAAAATAGTAAACCAAATGCGAATGGAACAATATATGTTCTCTTGCAAAAAGCAAAAACACCATTCTCAGTTATTGTAATCAAAATTGACTGATATCAAACCTGCTGCGGGGTAACCAGCACAGCAAATCCATTTATCAAGTAGTGGTAGCTGTAGAGCTTCAGATATTTCTCCCCTTTCAACACTTTCTTCAGCAAGGAATCATGAACTCTGGCAATATGAGAGCCAAATATTTTGTGTCCCCTTGAAATATTTCTAAATTTATATAACAAAGAGAGAATATTGATCAATTTAAGGCACTTGATTCCACAAATAATTGCAAAAGGTATAAAATTAGAAAGAGGGGACGACACGAAGTTAAACGAACCAACAACATTAATAGCGAATATAATGATCCAAATCTAACAAACTCTCGATGAGAATCATGTACTCAAGGATCCAAGCAATGAACTATTATAGTTCATAAACCATCATTCAAGCGTTAACAGAATCCAATCCACTTTTTATGCTAAAAATTAACTTCCTCGAGAAGCCTCAATGATTAAATAGAAAAGCGCAAAAGCGTGAAATACCTCAATTTGCCCTAGAAAGATAGACAGGGTGCGAAACAAGAGCAAACGATATAATAACAAAATTAAGCATCTTGCTTCAATAAATTACCCAAAATGAAGGAAAACGGAGAGACTATTAAACAACATAAAAAGAGATCGAAGCGGAGGAAAGCAGGGGGGAAAAAATCAGTGCTCAAGCCCCTCTTTGTAAATCTTCTAACCAAGAATTGCAGAAAGAAGCGTACCTTGGTTTGTGAAATCTAGTTCTCTCAGAAGCACCATGTTCGAAGCCCTTACCAACTCTGAACTCACTGTAGTGATGAGAGGAAGGAGTCTGTCTCAGAGTAACAATGTACACAGCTGAAGTTGGTTCGTCTGAATCATCATGGCATAAGAATGGTTCAAGAAACGCCCCCAAGCAAAACAAAACTACTATATGTGACCAAAAAATCTTCCCCATTTGGATTTTGCGTCGGGAAAAAAAGAAGAAGAAGCAAAAACCGAAGAACCCCAATCAATCGAATGCCTCTACAAATTATGAACAGAAGACTGAGAAGTGAGAACAATTCTTCAGCAACCCTCTCACTCCATTCTCAATCACAACTTTTCTCCTCAATTTTACCAAAGGTTGTGTATTATGAAGCTGAGAGAAACCCTTGCCGAGCTCCTTCGTTTCCAGAATCCTGACTCGGGAACACACAGACCCCAGAAACGAAATCGTGATTAAGCACAAGCAGGTTGCTTTTGGTGAGAGAGGAAAACCAAAAAGCTTTGTTTTAGATTATTTTAGAGTATTGGGATAGACTCTGAGAGAGAGAGAGAGAGAGAGAGAGAGGATACGTGTCAGTGAGTATTAATAGCTGGAGTGGAAGTGAAGAGAATCTGGAAAAACCATCTCGGGAGGTGTGAATTTGAACGTTTTGTTTATTCTCAGAAGAAAAAGAAGTGGGATGAGGAAATGGACCGTTTTATTTGGTTTTATTCGCTTTGGACTCTTTTTGAGTTGTTGGCTGTCACTTTGTGGCTGCTGTATACTTCGTTCATGCATGTGAGTGACATGTTCACTTTTCGGAGTTGCTCGGAGTCAAATAAACTTTATCTGAATCTGAATAATAGTAATTTGTGCTCGTCTGGTGTACTTATTTAATATCTAATTAATGTTGTTTATTATTATTCATTCATTAAAAAATCATCAAATCAAATCAAAGTATATTTAAAATTTTTATGGAAAGTATATTTAAAAGTTCAAACACGTCTTATCAAAAAAAAAAAAACACAAGAAAGCCAAGCCATATTGATAATAGATTAATGTAATTGTATATAGTTTTGCTTCTAATCAGTATCTGTGCAATAGTGCAATACATAGAACCGAGATTATTTCGTTCATGGAGATCGGCCCTTTAATGAAAATGTGAATTCAAGTTTTAGTATTTAAAATGAGCAGTTGGCATTATTGATAGATGATTTATAAATAGTTTTGAAAATATTTTTCACTTGTATATTTATCATTGTCCTAATAAATTTTCCAGATCCGAGTCAATTATTTTTTTCATCATTTTAGCCCAAGAAATTTTTTTCCATTAGAAAGGAAAAATTGTATAATATTTATAATATTTTAAATTGTATTTATTTCTAATAATTTCTTATTTTATGATATGTATGAAATTAAACTACCAAATAATTCCTGCTACTGGTTAGTCGGAATATAAATACTAAAAGGGGGAAATTTTTCTTTAATTAGGTTAGTCAAAAAAAAAAATATTATGTTCTTCACAAGTCGTTCACAAAAAATTTTTATTCTTGTTTGATGAATAAACAAAAAAAGAAAATGGAAAGGTATATGATTGCATTTGGCATTGTCATTTTAAGTTTTTGAAATTTTAAATTTTTAATGTATAATATATATCACAATTAACATATTAATTTGAATATTATAACTGCACTCATTTCAACAAAAATAATCATATTAAAGTTATTACTTTTCGAAGTAAACATTTGTTAATAATTAACTAGTAGGAAGAAAGCTAATAATCAAGAGAAAGAATTACTATTATTCGCATTAAAAGTAATGTTCAATACACTTGATGACGTACGATAATTGTTAACAATTGTTCAAAGTATTCCATTTTTTTTCAAAAGAAAAACCATTTTATACTTATAATTCTTCAGCTAAAATTAAAAAGGTCAAAAAAGAACATAGTACGTTTTAATTTATATATAACCTAGTAGTTAGGAAATGTTTGTGAAATTTTAGCTATTGCTATGCAAAATTAAGTAGTTAGCACGTGCTAAGTCACGTGTGGTATTATTAACTAGTGATTTGCATGCATGTTTGAATAATTAGTAGTTTGATATGATATGTATTAAAGTGCATGTCGATTGATATGTATTTTAAATGCAATTTCATTGAAAATATATATTACATAAATTATGGACTGTGACATTCGGAAAAAAATGACTTGAATGATGAATGTAGGGCTCCATGTTGTATTAAACATGAATATTTTTACATACAAAGGCACACAATAAAATTATTTTAATTCAATATGCATACACTCAATATTTAGTATTAGCATGAAATAGGGCTAAATATAAATCTTTTTCAAGTGTGTTCAAAAAAGGTGCAATTGGTCTCATTTTTTAAAGGCATAATTTTGTCCTGATATTTGAAAAAAAAAAGAAAAAAAAAAAAACCCAATTTGCCCTGCCATCGAATTTTATCACATTGACTATTAGTTCACCTGTTAGTGCTTACATGGCACGCTGATGACGTGGACTAAAATTTCTTTCTGTTTTGGCCACTCAGCCTTTCTTCCTCGACCTCTTCTCTAGCTTCTCCCTGCTCTCAACATCCCATCAACCTCATCTAAAAGAACTAAACCCAGAAACCCAAAAATCTCATCTAAAAAAACTTGTGTCTGACCCAGAAAGTTTTGACCTTTTTGTTCCCATCAAACACTCCATCCCTCCAACACTTCTCCATCGCCAGTGACAATTTATAGAGAAACAAAACTTTATGCATAACAAGTAAACATAAACCAGAACTCAATCATCATCAAGAAACAAAGAAATGGGCTTTGACAACCCCAGGTCCTGATCCTCACCAAGAACCTGATCTGAAGGAATATTATGATACATAATGAAATTAAATCAGGCACATCACTGGAAAAATGACGACAAATTCTGATACAAGCTTCCAAAATCAATATCAACTCGGAGATCTCTCCATGGGAGATCAAATCATCAACTAGGAGATCTCTGCATAAAAGATTGTAGATGGAGAGAAGCAGCGAGCAAAGGAAGTCAGAGTGCATGTGGGCAGTGATCTCGAGTGTGAAGTATAGTTTGTGTTTGCTGGAGAAGTAGTTGAAGAGTGGTGTGGTGAAGCATTCGAGAAGGAAGGTGGAGAGGATTCTGGCATAGGCAATTTGAGCTTGAGGAAACTCACTTCTTCTTCTTCACCATAGCAAAAATCTCAGATCTGGAAATGGGATTGACCCATAGAGAAGGGCAAAATTCCTAACCTAACCCGTGGTGCTTTCAAAACGGCGAAACTTCTTCATGTGCGGCAGAAGGAGAAAAAGGAACGACTGTGACGAGGAATGATTGTTCAACAACGGTGACAAGGAACGATTTCTCCTCTGATTCAAACTTCTTCATTCAGCAATGGCCAACCATTCCTCCTGACACATTAATGATGCGGCAGATGAATACAGGTTAACAAAGAAAGTTGGCTTAAAGTGGAGAAGAGAGAGAGAGAGAGAGGGAAGACAAAGCTATGGGTTTCAGATCTGAAAGAGGAAGACGAAGACGCAGCAGGTGTTTCAGTTTTTTTTTTTTTTTTTTCAATAGCCACATCAGAGTGTGGCAGGTGATGTGGCCTGCCAAAATGGTCAAACAAGAAAGGTTAACGGTCGTGGCTCTTCTGTCCTGACAGGGCGACATTGTCCGATTTTTAAAAATGCCAGCACGAAATTGCACCTTGAAAAACATTAGGTTTTCAATAACGCTTTTTTTTTTAAAAAAAAAAACATCATATCTGTACTTTAACACATATCACACTAATTTTTTTGGTAAATAATTATAATAAATCATGATTAACGTAATTATTTTCTCAAAATAATCCCCTTAATTTATTAAAAGCATTTGTGAGAGCTTAAATATTAATATGAGAAATTATTATATAGACATGATACACTATATCACCTATAATTCATCCAATAAAAACAAAATATTTAATTAATATTAAATATAAATTGATTTTAACATTGATGATAGTATAGAAATAAAAGATAAGAATTTAGATAAACATTTCATTATAAAAATTTTGTTTAATTGTATTGATATAATTTTATAATGGACAATAGATAATATGATACACATAATCTATCTAAAAATTTCTCTATTACTATAAATATTTTTTAATAATAGTAATAACTTGGACATATGCCTGTCCAATGTCCAGATGTTGCATGCTGCATATTTTAAACCTTTAAAAAAATTAATTTATAACTCCTTTTAGTTTTTTTTAATTTTGAATTATATTTTTATAGTTTACTTTATTTTAATCAGGCTCATATATCTTGATCAATTAAATATGTTAGTGTATGAAAATTAAAATTACTAATAAATGATTTAGTTTTTTAAAATAAAAAAACTTGGTTTAATACTTTTAGGCAAAAATATTATTCAATACAATATTTATATTTTTATTAATTTTTTATAAAAATTATATATATATATATAATTTATTTAAAAAAATAATTTAAGTACATAAATTTTGAATTATAAAAATTATGAATTAATTCTAAAATTATATAATCTTGTAATAAATATCTAAAATTTTTTAATTTTATTTTTAAAAAAATTAAAGGATCCTAACAACCAAAAACTAACATATTTAATTGAATAAATTATAAGGGCTTAAGTAAAATAAAAAAATTTTAAAATATTAATTTAAAATTGAGTAAAACTATAAGAATTTATAAATTAATTTTTTCAATATTTGATCAGAGAAGCTTCCGAGTATTTTTCCCTTCAATAAATAAACTATTTTATTTGGACATAAAAATAGAATTTGTTTTCTTAATTTTTTAATTTATCATTTCAAAATTGACATGTATTTTATATGAAAAGTTAATCATATTGTTTATTTTTTAGAAAAATATGAATTCATGTAACCTTTGCATTGTATCAAATACAAATCATACATATATATCAATAGAGTATGACCTTGTGCCTGCACGGAAACACATCAGCTACTGATTTTTTTTTTTAAACAAAAAATGTTACTGTTGTTTTCTCTGTAGAACAAATAATAACAAAGAATTATATTTTATAGAAGAAAATATTATTATCAATAAATATAAATAACTAAAATTCTATCATATGCGTGAACATGAAATTATAGTGATATGCAAAAGCAAATACGTAAAAGTTAAAATTTGTGTATATATCATTAATTGGTTGGATCTATGGAGGCATCACAGAATTAAATCAAAAAATGAAAATCATGAAATTTATCAGGCCAAAAAATAATAATGAAACGCAAAGCCAAATATAAACCAAATATCTTAAATCATATTATTTTTTATCAACATCTCAAACCACAATATTTTAAAATTTATAAGCTAATCATAAAATACAATAGATACATTCTTTTTAATTAGCATTGTATAATATTTATAATTATTTTTGCGCCATAGAAAATGCATAAGGGAGACTGAATAATGTTATACTTTACTACAACAATCACTTTTATTGATTAATAATTAATTAACTAAAAAAGTATATAATATATAGTAAGCAAGCAGCCAAGCACTGTTAATAACACACACTATGCTGCATAAAAGGGAAACAGATTGCAAATCTAAAGTGAAG